AGATGAGAGTGTTTTGGAGGGTTTAATGGACCTCAGCTAAAACCCAAAAATACACAGAATCTATGGGGAATCGTTTCAATTTTTCCTAAGATTTGTGGGTTCTACAAACAAATCCGAAATCTAAATCTATGGAAATGAAGATTGAAGGCACGAATCTAGAAAAATCACAGAAAACAGAAAAGCAAGAATATGTTTCAGAATCAAGAACAGTGATGAACTATCAAAGAACATTGTGCCAGAGTTAGTGCAAGGGTATAAGGCCAAGAACAATTGCAAAAGTGCAAGAAAATTGTGAGCAGTGTGTGTATTCAAGACATAGACAAAAGCAAAGTCATGCAATAAACACACTCAGATACATGATTCATAAATTGAATACTTGAGCAAAATAGCAATGGCAACAAGTAATAAAGCGGAACTTCTTGAAGAGCAACAAGAGATAAAACCCGGAGGAACAGTGGCTTATCAGAAAAAGTGAAGCCGGTGTTGAGATCGCCGAAGTCAGACTAATAGCAGCAACGAAAAAGATTAGCAAAAACCCTCGCTAGAAGGGAGTGAACGGAAGTAGTTGCAGAAAGCTTCGCGGGAGCAATAATGGTGTATTTTGAAGAAGGAAGCTAGAGGGAGAGAAAGTTAAGAGCTTGAGAAAAACAAACGATGTAAAGTAAAAAGACGAAAGAAGAAGGAAGTTTTGTCAAAAACCCGAAATGGCGGCAAAAAGACAATTAATGCGCCTAAAACGACGTATGCATCAGACGGCGCAAGCAGGCACGAAACGACTTACAGGCGCGTATCAAGTACGATCCAGTAAAATGAAGACGTGTGGCTAAAACGGTTGAGTTATTATGCATGACAGCTCATACGCGTGAAGGAGCTCTTGGAATTCTTGTTCCTTAAAAAAACATATCGGCCTGTATGATGATCTCAGCTAAAGAAATTTTAAACCGACGTACTGAAAGGAAGTTCTGATATAGGTTCCATCACCTCAGAGTGTCGAGGTAATAGAACCTAGGGGGTAGTTGTAAGGATATATTTTCTGAGTACCAACACGTGGCTATTGTGATGCCGACGTGTCAACCGAAGTGCCTCACGTCTCATGGTCACGACGCCGAGGTGATCTCGGCTAGGCTGAGGTTATCCTCGAAGATATCGGAATCCGGGACAAGTGGATAAGGGACAAGAGTTCTAGAATGAGAAAGGACTTTAGCCTGAATAGGGATAAAACTCATAGAGAATTTATCTTTATCTATTGAAGAGTCCATGATAAGCACTAAGCTAGAAATCCATTGAAGCAAGGCTTCTATTGGGACTAGGATTGAGTTAATTATAAAAGAAAGGCACCCCCATAGGTCTAAAGTATGCAATTTGTATTCTGAATAGTGAGTTAAGCACTTGATTTATCGTTGAGAGATAACTGACTTGATCGTCGGAGTGCCCCCGGGTGGATGAACTACCGCCGGAATCTTCTCTTTCTGTTGCAGGTCAATTAGGCGCCATCTATTCTGCCAGTGCTCTCCAGCTGAATACTGAGTTAACAGTGTGATCAAAAATTAATACATACACATATAAAAGTTGCAATTTTTTCCCTCCTCAAGAAGTTTAACATCTAAACTCATGTAAGTGGATAACTTTTGTCATATTACCACTGAATAGTAAATTCAAGCCAATCTTTCATGGCTAAGTTGCGTATAGATCTCAAATTTAAGAATAGATTTGTAGGGGAGAAAATTTTTTTTTTTATAAAAGTTCTTATATTTCATACACATTTCCTTGATTTTTTTTAATCCAGAAATTTCTATCCTTTTTTTTTTTCCAAAAAAAAAAAAAAATGAAGAAAAAGTATGCAATAGGAAATTACGAAATACTACACCTAATAGATCATATAATTACGAAATAAATTTTAGAATTTAAAATATAGTTATACAAAATCATATCCTTTTAAATATAGCTATATTTATAATTAATTTTAATCAATCTATTACCTATCCTTATTTATATTATTATATAAATAAAAATGTTTTACGATAATTGAAATTCAAATTCCTAATCTATTTTTGTTCAAAATTTAAAATTGTTAAAATGCATATGTTGCAATATCATTAATTTCTTTCTATTATAAATTTTATTTTAAATCTTATAAAATTTGTTCAATGATAGCAAGTCTACAAAATCATATTTTAAAACTCAAAATTATTAATATTTTTATTTATTTTTATTTTTGTTTTAAATAAGCATGTTAAAGTATAAATAGATATCCAAATAAAATTATACTTATTAATAAATATGACATTAGTTTTAATTGTAATCGCATCTTTTTAAAGTCTTTATTCATTTTTTAACTTTTTTTTGTTGATATTTTAAGTTACATGTTATGATAATTCTTTCTTACTCATTAAATTTGTAAAATTTCTTTAATTATTTCCCTTTCAAAAATCAATATAACAATTTTTTAAAATTCATTTATTTTTATTCTAAACTAGTGAAATACTAGAACTATGTCATTTTTTTTTTATAACAAAGCATAATTTTAGTTGTTAATTGTCAATACAACAATTTTAATTTATCTATACTATATATTATAGAAAAAGAATATTTAAAACAAAACTCTTAAAGTTATATATAAAATTTCATTTACGAGAAATAAAATATAAAAACTTAAAATAATTATTTAAATAATATATTATTTTATCCCGTGCATAGCACGGGTGAAATGCTAGTGGATCTCAAATTTAAGAATAGATTTATAGGGGAGAAAAAAAAATTGTACAAAAGTTCTTATATTTCATATGCATTTCCTTGATTTTTTTTAATCCACAAATTTCTCCCAATTTTTTTTTTTTTTTCAAAAAAAATATGAAGAAAAAGTACGCAATAGGAAATTACGAAATACTACCTGATAGATCATATAATGTGAATGTTTGGAAAATTGTTATTTTTTAGGCTTTTTAGATATTTTGTCATTTTAGCTTGTTAGACTAGACTGTCACTATACTGTGCTTACATTGTCAACGTGACGGTGTAGGCTGTCCCACTATCGGCTGCTTTTTCTTTTTAAATGTAGGTTATCTCAGTGTCGGTTGCTTTTTCTTTTTCTTTTTCTTTTTTTAAATATAAATCATTGGTCTAAGAAAAAATTTGAAACTATTTGAATTTTTTAGTATTTGAACCTATTTTAACCTTACACTTAGGTTCCCAAACGCCCAATGTGCCTGTTTGGCAGAAATTATTTACAGCTTATTTCAGCTTTCAGCTTAATTTAAGCTATTTTGATGTGTTTGGTTTAGCTTATAGCTTATAGTTTATAGCTTTGTGGAAGTCAGAGCTTATTCTTTGAGTGGGGCAGGAGATGCTTTAAGAATAAGCTGGAAATCAGCTTAAGCTGAAAGTTATAAGCTATAAGCTGTTTAGGCATAAGCTATAAGCACTTTCCCACAGCTCTACCAAACAGGGTGTATCCAACTTTAAAAGATTGTTCAGTTGAAACGATTGCCGCTTGGTGATAAGGTCTCGTTTGGGAACAGGCTAATTTAGTAATTTTTTGGTTATTTGGCTAAAAAGGTAAGTAAAAAAAATTTATATGTTTGGGATGACTTTTTAGCTAATTACGAAAAGATATGTAAAAAGTAGAGAGAAAAGATAATCTTTGACTTTTTGATATGAGTTGTTGACTTTTTGGCTAATGAGTAATGATTCATCCTCCCTTTTCCCCCACCCTCTTTGACCCCCTCTCTCTCTCATTGGTTACCTTTTCTTTTTCTTTTTCTTTTTCTTTTTTTTCCTGCTCCTCCAATCACCCCCTGCCACGTGGCAAAGGGGGGGTGAGGGGGTGACCCTCAAAAGGGGGTCCCAAGCATTATTCTTTGGCTAATTCAGGCCTCGTTTGAGAACCATCTTTTTTAGCCAAAAAGTCAAAAAATTATTAAATTAGCCAAAAAGCCAACAATCCATACCAAAAAATTAAAGATTCTCTTTTCTCTCTATTTTTTGCATATCTTTTCGTAAAAAGTCAAAAAATCATCCTAAGCATACTAATTTTTTTAACTCATATTTTAGTCAAATAACCAAAAAATTACTAAATTAGCTTGTTCTCAAACAAAACCTTAAAGTCTCACGAAAAGTAAATGCAAATTAATGACTGACCTTTCATTTCCATGGTGCTACTTAACTCGTGATTTTCAGAAGATTACACGAGTGTCCTATGACTTCCATAACTTTTTAAAACTTTGATTAAGAAATCACAATTTTTCAGGCACAGAGCACTCAGCTCCCAGGGCTTAGTGCACAACAATCAATATACAGGCATTGACAAACCTCCCAACTTCACTATCACATTGTTCTCTGATCAACAATTTTGCATAAAAAAATATTTTAAGAATAAAATTTTCCAAACAAGACTGATAAATCAAAATGCAAGCTAGTAATTCTTTAATTGAAAAGTTACTTTGGTTTTTTATATTTATTAGAAAGAATCACAAAATTTTCTTTCCTTAACAGTCATTTTGTACCTTTGTGGCTATGATAAATAAACCAAATGGTTTGAGTTTAAATTGTGTTTGGCCCGTTCAAGCTAAATTCGTGAAGTAAACAAGTCAAATTTGAACACATTTTAGAGCACATTAAAATTTTTAAACAAAACTTGAACAATTGATTTCTTGTTCAGCTCGGTTCGATAAATCTAAAGTTATATAAAAATATCAAATTACTTAAGCTCGGCTCAACAAAAAAATTCATTTGAAATTGTTTAAAAAATTTAACAAACCAAACTTAAACAGTTAACTATTTGAGACCAATGAAAACCTATCAATGTGTTTCCTCAAAAATAATAAAAGTAAATTTTTAAAAAATATACATATAAATTAAATAATTTGTCAGAGATAGACATCAAGTCGTTGTAGTATAGTGGTGAGTATTCCCGCCTGTCACGCGGGTGACCCGGGTTCGATCCCCGGCAACGGCGTAAATATCTTTTTTATTTTGTCCCTTGCTCTTTTTCTTTCCAACGGACTCTTCTTGGCTTGCCGGAGAAGAGACAGGACGTTATCACGCGATTCCAGCCCATTTTCTCACTTTAACGCCACTCCTGATTGCCTGAAAAGAAAAGAAAAGAAAATCAGAGAGAAAATGGAAAAGTTGGTGCTGAGTCCACCACATTCTCAGTCCCCACCACCACCACACAAATCAATGAACAACACCTCGCGCCGGAGCCTAACCACCACGAGCATCCACATAATGGCCTTAGACAGCATAGTCAACGTCAACTCTCTCTTCACCCTAGCCGTCTTCCTTGGCCTCGCCCTCAACCCCTCCGACCCAAACTACACCCTCATCATCACCACCGCCTGCGCCGCCTCCTCCGCCGTCGCCGAACACCTCGTGGCCTTCCACGTCTACTCCTTCAGCTCCTTCCTCTTCTCCAGCCTCATCGCCTCCGCCCTCAAACAGGCCATCAGGACCGCCAAGGACGACGACGACGGCGGCGATGTGGTGGTGGTGGGCGGCGGCGTTGAGATGGCGCACCACGTTAATTTAAAGATGCTGCGAGCCGGGATTCTGGCGTCGGCGGCTGGGTCAGCTTCCGGCTGCGTGTTTTTGACGCTGGCGCTGGTTGATTTGGTTCAGATAAAGCTTGGGAGTTTGGCTTGTTGGAGCTGGTATAGCTTGGCTGCCATTGCTCCACTGGTGATATTAGTACCTTTTGCACTTATCATATATATATGTATAGTTTTACATGCCTTTGTGTGTTGAATGTCTATTATGTTGATAACAATTTGTACTAGCGATACTGAAAAAAAAATTCTATGATGTTGATACATTGAATAGGTTGTTTTGGGAGGGGAATGAATAGAGGTTGAAGATTTTGAAATGTAAATGTGATTTAAGAATATGAAATTAAATTTTCAAGATAATAATTGGGGTTCAATTAATATATTTTGAAAAGGAACATGATTTACAAACAAATTTTTTTATATCCCAAATATATGAAGATGGTTTCTCTCCAATTTACATAGAGTTCGTTTGGGATGCCCATTGAGGCTAAAATAGCCATATAAGATAAAATATACTATTTTAGTCAAATATGACAAAATACCACATCCAACTCATAATTATTTCATTTTTTCTCTCATAAAAGTTAAAAAAAAGTTTAAAAAATCTATCCCAAACGAGACTTTTTAACTCCAGGTCAAAATAGTCAAAAAGCCAACTCATATCTCAAACGAGCTCATAGTGAACTAAAACGTACTGTTAGGCCCATAGGGCCCACAAAAAGTCCCATTTCGGTGATCCGAACCATTTAATGTATAGAGCTCGTCGAATACTTTATGCTTATAAAAAATCAAGTTGATTAGATATTGGTAGATGAAATACATTTTTGTTGACAATATATTTTTAAAATCATATTTACTATATATTGACAAAAATGTGTTCTAATCAAGGGATACCGATATTTGATCAATTTGATATTTTACTTGGATAAAGTACTTGACGAACTCTACACATTGAACGGATCGGATTAACGAAAAAAAATCCATGGCAAGACTCATGAACTCAACAATACGTTTCAGTCTACGATGTGAACCGGAGAAAAGCCTCTCCCAAAACATATTTAGAATGATGTCGTAATGACATTCTTGCCGCATCTATGCTACGGTCTTGGAATTTTGTTCAGAAAATTGCTTAGAAAAGTTAATGTGTGGTTAGAATTGATTTTACATGTGAAATCCATCAAACAAGAGTTGAATTTTGACCATAAAATCTATTCCGGAATAAATTTTTGAGCAGAAATTCAGGGTCTCTATCTTTTCTTTGTAATTATGTGTTACAATAAAGGGTGCTTCAACTTTAAATGAATGAACCATGAACAAACATGTCTTTCTGTATAAAATTCTACAATATGAGTTTTTTTCATACTTTGGGCCTCCTGCGACCAAACTGCTAGATCCATTCATGTTTATATGACTTCTTTTTTTTTTTTTTTTAAATATATATAAAATAAAAAAACTAATCACCTTTGTAGTGATTGTAGGCAATCTAATCTTGATCATATGCAATTTTATTTATTTATTTTTGGCATTAGCTAGGTTGATTATGGTTAGAGGTAAATTATTTTGATTACTTCTGACAGTGGATAGTGTTTTGATTTGGGGTGGAGATTAATATTTTTCTTCTTGGTTGTTTGGAAATTCAAGTAGTTCTTTCATCTGAATTCACTTTCTCGTTTCTTAAATTTGACAATTTGAGAAAATTAATGTTTGGGTTAAATACATTAAAGTGGGAGGCTGTGCAGTCCCATATATTAAATTTGACTGATAATGGGAAATTGGGAATGGTTAGCTTTGCTTACTCACCCTCTTCTATTGTTTAGTATTATTTTGGCATTGGCATGTGATGATGACCTAAAACTTATCTATTGTCCCTTTATAATAAGGGAAGGTTAGACTCTGAGCAGCTTATTTTAATCTTCAAAGTCAAATGATTTTGTCATTGCCCAAGCAAACTAGTATTAATTTGTAAGCAAATCACTTAAAATAGTTATGTTTTAGATCCAAAACAGGGGAAGAAAAAAAAATCTCTGTTAGAACTTGAAAAGTTGCCTCTTGTTCAAATTCCCAACAAGTTCTTCAATCTTGATTAACATCTTCACTCAGCATCTGTTTGTTCTTGACATATTGTAATCTTCCTCTATTGCTTTCTGCACTTTCATGGCAAAGGATCAACAAGTCACGGTCTTCGCATTCCGCTATTCCTGCTACATCCTTCTTGTTCTTTCTGCCTTCTCATCCATCTCATTCCTCTACTGGTCTCACTGCTCTGGACGCTGCTATTCCAGTGTCCAAACAGCAGAGCAGAAACAAAATCAACCCATTAACCTCCTTTCCTTTCCTTCTGCTTGGAACCGTCTTTCCTTCCCTTTAGAACCACCTTCCAATCTCCTCAAGATTGCTCTCTTTGTCAAGAAATGGCCTCACAGATTTCAAGCAGGCGGGCTTGAGCGCCACGCCTTGACTCTCCACCTCACGCTAGCCAAACGAGGCCATGAGCTCCACATCTTCACCGCCTCTTCCCCAAACACCACCTTTCCCAAATACCCAATTAGCAATTTACATTTTCACCAGTCAAAACCAACAAATGCTGGTTATTTGGACCAAGCTATAGCCTGGAGGCAATTCCAAGCCCAGAACTCAACCGGCAAACCTTTTGATGTGATCCACACTGAAAGTGTAGGACTTTTGCATACCAGGTCACGGGGTCTGCCTAATCTAGCTGTTACCTGGCATGGGATTGCGTATGAAGCGATGCACACTGACATCATTCAGGAACTTCTGCGAACTCCTGAAGAGCATCGGGCATATGCATTGACCGAGAGAGCAACGAAGGTCGTTGAAGAGGTGAAATTTTTTCAAAATTACGCTCACCATGTTGCTACCAGCAATCATGCTGGGGATGTTCTGAAAAGGATTTACATGATCCCAGAAGAACGAGTTCACATCATTCTCAATGGTGTAGATGAGGAGATTTTCAAGCCAGATGTAACCAAGGGTAAGGATTTCAAGCAGAAATTTGGGATTCCACAATCTAAGTCATTGATCTTTGGAATGGCTGGAAGGTTGGTTAAAGATAAAGGACACCCATTAATGTTTGAAGCTCTGAAGCAGATTTTCACGGAAAATTCTAGATTTCGCGAGAGTGTCGTGGTCTTGGTTGCAGGGGATGGTCCATGGAGCACAAGATACAAAGATCTCGGGGCCAATTTACTGGTTTTGGGGCCATTGGAGCAGGCTCAACTGGCAGGGTTTTACAATGCAATAGATGTTTTTGTGAACCCAACACTCAGAGCTCAGGGATTGGATCATACTTTGTTAGAAGCAATACTTACTGGTAAGCCAGTAATGGCAACGAGGCTTGCCAGCATTACAGGGTCCGTTATTGTCGGCCCTGAGATGGGTTATACATTTTCACCCACAATAGATTCACTGAAAAAGGTCCTTTATCAGGTTTGGGAAGATGGAAGAGGAAATCTTGAGATGAAAGGTCAGGCATCTAGGGAGAGAGGCTTGAAGTTGTTCGCTGCCACCAAGATGGCAACTGCCTATGAAAGGTTGTTCCTTTGCATTTCATATAATGGGGAAAGCAGCTATGACTATTGTACATACCACCCTCCAAATGCCTAAAATGGCCAGATTAGGGTGGCACAGCGTTTGGATCACGGTAATAGCTCCTTTAGAAATGGGGGTAAGCCTCATGCACTGGGTCATCCTTGGTCTGAACTCGCATTAGGGTTTTATGGAGTCAGTTGGAAAGCATATTTTGAGCTCTATTTTCAATATTAACCTTTGGTATGAGCAAGGAGCAGAGGCAACCTGGCAAGTCATGAATCCTGGTGGCAAAATAGAAAGACTTCAATATAGCTTATAAACAATGCATCTGCTTTTTCTGGTTGTGAGGTTACAAACCTTGACTGGGTTGATGGTGGGCCTTGGAGAGAACCTGTTCCAGAGTGGGAGTGGCTTATGCTTAACCATCACCTGCAGGTGAGAAAAAAATGAAGTTGCTGTAACTCAAGCATTTAGTTAAAGAAACTGGGAAAAAGAACTCAAATTGCCAATGTTTTGATGATCTGTATGTGCTGTAGCCTTCATGATCAAACTTGGTGTACCTGTCTGGAGGTGGGATCTCACTTAAATTTTTTTGTAGGTCTCTTGAATTATCCTTTTTCCATTTCCAGATTTCTCAGCTCTTACATGCCTCCGTGATATATGAACATATTCTCAGCCATAACCACTGAGACGGTACTTACATTATAACCTAGTCAAGCCAACACATGTATTCGCACCTAAAACCCTAAACCCTAAACCCTAAACCAAGATGGTACTTACATTAGTAGCCAACACAAGCTGATTTACATGTAATCTCTTTTGTTGGCATCTGAATAAAATGTAATAACATCAATTTTTATGACAATTAGGTTCTTTTACTGAACATTGTGTTTCATCTAGATAATGGTATTGATTGAATGCTGATATCTTCAGTGTCAAATTCAGACATCTGAACTCGTGAAATTGTATTTTGTTAAGATATCGAGTCACTTTTGCTGCAAAACTATGGACTTTCCAATGCTAATTGTTCAATTACATTGCATTTCATAGTAAACAGTAAGCTGTTTTAGCTAGCACACAATCTGAAATAAACCTTTGAACATCTTTTTTGATACATAAAAGAGCAAATCGGAATTATCATACTGTCCTCATTCATTACTGCTATATGAAAACCAAAGCAATATTGTTCAACTATACAGGGTAATCCTAGTAGAATTCCTGGGAAAATCTTGTTCTAAAAAGAAAAAAATTGACAAGGGTTTCCCACTATATAACCTTGGGAGCTCCATATGAATCTCCTTGTAAGTTCTGTCCAATAAAGCTTTGTTAAAATACCGCATATCTTCCATATAATAAAAGCCAAATCAAACTCCTGCGGAGGTTTTGTGTATTCCTGCAAAATTTGATACAAGAAAGAAACATCATATTGAACAAATGATTCGAAGATATTATCGATTAGCACAACGAAGAGAAGGAAAATAAGCATATCACACGTAAAAAGATATCATCAAGTGCCCAAAATGAGGTACTTTGGATAATTCACCTCAGAACTCCCTTGTCAAGAATGGATACTTAAGTAACAAACAAGAACGTTTTCATGGGGTTGCATAAACGCAGAAGACGTGTTTATCACTTCAGTCAAACTAATTAAGATTAACCTTCCATGTTTTCCATGACTTGCCACATTTTAACCCTAGCTTCTCTTCACCCCCAACCACCAGACACCATAATAAACACCACCACCACCAAAATAGAAGGCAAAAATGAAAACTTAAAGCAATTAACTTCATGATTTCAAAAGCTTTCTGGTAAAACCAAAACACTTGCGATTTCAAAAGCAATCAATGCCCTTGAAAGAACCTAAAGTTCAAACTTTTAAAACTTAACACTAGATTATTATATGGGAGTATATGCAAAAAGGAGCAAATTAAAAATCAAAATCAAATAAAATAAAATTCAGACTTTTGGTTGCACATACTGAAAAAGCAGAGGGATCGAACAAAAAGATGAGTTCCATCAACCTTTCATGGCATAGATCTTATTACCTTACCTTGGTAAATAGATCCATAATACACATCCTCGGCTGGACAAAGTCTTAATAATAAAGTGACCCTGCAGGAATTCAGAGATGTTAATACGTCTAAAACTGTTACTTCAATAAAATTCAAATTCTTGTATCTATGTTTGCAGCAACTTTACCTTGCCACCAGTTCCCTCTAGAAGCGCCCTGTGAATTGTTTCCATTGGGATCATCTTCCACTGCATTTTTCTTGAACTAACACATTCACAAAATCATTGAAACTATGAGTTCCATTTTATCAAATAATCATGATAACAAAGTCACCTCATGTGCACAAATGTTTCTTCAATCAAGACTCACAATGGGGTAGGAGCTGGAGGTCTGAGTACTCGAAGAACGGATATACATGTCTTCTTGCCCACCATAATAGAGAGATGAACTTAGAGGACAATGTTCTACACTTTCCTGGACAACTGAAGTCCTTTCCTTGTTGGCTATGCTATTGCCTGCACCTTCACTTTTCTTGGCTATAAAGTCTGCAAAAGAATGCAGAGAAAACAATACCTTCAACACGCTTCTCCTAAATGAAGCATTACTATCCCGATGATTTCTTTTGTACAATTAAGAGATATTGAGAAATTACATGACATGATGTTTCGGAGAATAGTAAAAATAAATCTAGCTTAAGATCTCCACAGAAGTAGTCTTGGGACATTTATTTTTGCCTGTCGAACAAATATAAAGTATAATCCTATCTATGGTAATAGAGGTACCAAAAAGGGTTTAGCAATTCCGCATAACTAGAGAAAATAGGAATAAAAATTCAGCATAATGATCTCATATAGTGGGGAAAAGCTGAAAAAAGTAGTAATATTCATATAAAAATAAAATAAAATTTGAAGCTAAAGCAAACAAATTTGCAAAAGAGTTTAATTTAGCATAATATAGTGTGAATTCATTTCTTCTAATCAGAGTTTGATTTATTATTTGGACATTTAAAGTTTTTCCTTTAGAAATACAAATAAATGATTGAATATGATCTAATACCTTCAGAAATATATTCACTTTTAATGTTTCTTAGAATTAGAAACTGAGGTAAAAGACAGAGTAGAAGAAAAAAGAGAGAGTTGAAGTGCAGACCTGCAGTTCCTTGATTGGTGCTCCTCCACACATGATTCCCCGACAACTGTTTTTGCATGTATCCCATTAGCTCTGAGCATGATGAGTCCCCACCTGCAGCCTGAAATCAAAAATAGACGAATGCATATGTGACCAAACTTGGAACTAAAACCTATGATAAAGTACTTCATATTTTCATCTAAATGAATGATGACACCAATTTGGCCACTTTATCCTATCCCAACTATCTATAGTTGGCTATAGAATACCTGTATTTGATTCAATTCTTTCTTCTCTTTTCGCTCTTCTCTTTCCTCTTTTGCCTTTCTTTTCGTGCATGTGCACGTGTGGGTGGGGGTGTTACAGACAATCTAATGAAGCATCCTAGTTAAAAATATGGTTGGCAATTTCTACCGAAGTATCTATGATACATTTTCCACTCTTCCAGACAGGGTTGTACGATGAAATCAGTCAAAGAGCACAACTAGGACACTGTAATGATTGCAGAGAGGTACAATATACCATTGCCATCTATGATCTATCTCTGTTGAAGTTAAGTGTATGATTTGGTTTGGATTTGACGTCTTGATGTTTGTGCAATGTTTGGGATTACATTAGCAAAACTGGATTGATTTATTTATAAAGCTTTAGTGTTTTGTTTCTAAAAAACCTAAAACCAAGCATGCACTTAAGCAAAACTCATTATAATAATGGACTCATAAGCTTCAATTTAAGGATTCTAATATTGATTTTCTTATAACACAAAATCACAACATGCAGTCTTCACAATAACTTCCAAAAGTTTTGACATAACCAAAACGTGAGCAGATCCTCTGTCATTTTTTTCTCTGTAATGATGTTAATCCAACAGTCTAAGTTTAAAGTTGAAGCAAAACGACATCATTTTGTGAATGTTGTTTAAAATAAAAGTTACTACTTTAATTTTAATTTTTTTGAAGAATTATAATTTTTAAATTGAACAATTAAATTCAATTTTGCTGACGTGATCATCCCTATCTCTAGCTGTAATAAAAACAATAATGCTACAGATCCATACATAAAAGTCCAAAATTTCACATCAATAGCCAAATTCATTTTAGATGGAGACCCCCACTACATTAATTCAATCTTCACCCTACATCACTCTACCAACCAAAAAAATCTGGATAGATATGTCATGGTCAAAGCATTCTTGGTAATAAAAATCATAGCAAAATAATTGTAGAGAAAGAATCCAAGTCCAAAACAAAAACCTTTTTCATTGGAGAAACATGTGTACGGTTATAATTAAAGAAAAAAATACTATAATTTCATAATTTTTTGGTCAAAAAAAAAAATGAATTCATAACTAAATATAATATGAGATATAATTAAAATCTCAGTAGTCATAGCTAAAATAATATTATAAAAGAAATCTGGTCATAATTTTTAGAATAATGTTATATGCACTAATTAATGTACTAACTAGTATACTAATTGATGATGTGACATAATGCAAAAGGTCTTTATATTTATAATTTATATAATGAGTGGAGTTAATAATAATATCATAACTAATGATATACACTAATTGATGCATGCATGTGATACTACCGTAATTTTTATAAAAAAAATAGTATAACTCGGGTGCATATGGTACCTTGAAAAGGGTGTGTATATTAGAATTCAATTTTCCTTTTCATTGAATACTGAAAAAGTCATTGCAGAAACTCACGAAAATTATACAATTTTGAAAATGATATAAAAGTTTAATTCCATTTTTTAGACCAAATGACGAAAGCGGGAGTGATATGATTGGTTGATAATTAGAGAATATACAAAAAAAAAGCATTGCCTGATATCCTAATTGATTCGGGCTTGAAAATTGAATGTAATTTTGGACTTGCATAGCAATCCCCATACAATTAACTATTCAAATTAACCAAAACAATGGCATTGAAGAAATTAAATGAAATCCTAATGAACAGAACAACAAAATTAACCACACAAAAAAAATAAAAAATAAATCATAAATCATACCGGTGATGGTGGAGGAAACACTGACGCAAAAAATCCGGTGGATGCTGACGGCGGTGTCGATTCCTTGGAACCAAAAACATCAGCAGTGAATGATGAAGAAGGAGAAGAAGAAGAAGAACCCACTTGCTTCTTGTTTTCCATTACTTCGGCTTTGCTTTTTTTTTTTTTGGTTTTTTCCTTTCTTGGTCAATTCAACAAACAGTTACAGAACTGTCTCAAAGTGGACACAATCAGTCACAAACCCAAAACAAAACAACAAAAAAACACTTAACAAACACGGATAAAAAAAATCAGAAAACAGAGCAATTTGAAGATCAAAGATGATGAGAAATCAAAACCAGCCTCTCAATTTAAGGAATGCAGAACCCCCTAATAACCACTTTCACATGCCGTGCCGCCCAAGTGCGCCTACTTGGTCAAAAAAAAAAGTGTACTTCTTTACTGTGTTTTTCCCTTACCCATATTTGTAGGATTAGATTTCTTTTCCACTTTTGTCATGGATTTGGGTTTCCAAATTCTCTCTCTCTCTCTCCCCTAAATCTTATTTTCTCTCTCTTGCACGTTCTATTCTCTGCATAGAGAGAGAGAGAGAGAGAGAGAATCATATCATCTTATTCTACGAAACTTCGTTGTATGTGACCCGTGGGCTCAGTCTGACTTGGTGCACCCTTTTTAGGGAAAAAAAATATTTGGTACATTAAAATTTTGAATAAAGCTTGAGACGCAAGGGAGGTGCTGAGGTGCCGAGTTCCTTTGTGATTGGTTCAAAAAATTATTTTTATTTTTTTATTTTTTTTGTTATTTTCAGTCATTGACAGCCTCTCACGTGGAGGTGAGAGGAGGGAAGAGGTGCTGGGGTGCCTTGGATGTGGGGGTCTCCAGCATTTCCGTAAAACTTTAGTGTTATTTAATGTGTGCATTTAAGATATATATTAAAAAAATCATTAATGTATTTATTTAAATTTATAGATTATGTATGAAAGTGAATGTACTCAAAAATGTAAAATCTTTTCAAACCTGCTCTAGATTTTGGGTATTTACATTCTGATTGTAAATACTTTCATGCCAAGTGTTCCAACTGTTTTTAATTCCTTGACCTGTATATTTTAAAAAAAAATTTAGCCTCCGTTTGGGAAGTGGGTTGGCTTTTTGGCTTTTTGGCTTTTTTGGCTATTTTAGCCTGGGCTTAAAAGCTTGGTTTGGGAAGGGCTTTTTGGCTTTTTGACTTTTTTTTTTGGGACAATGAAAAATGGAATAAGGGACTAATATTTTGGGACGGAGGGAGTATTTTTTTTGTTATTTTCAGTCATTGACAGCCTCCCACGTGGAGGTGAGAAGAGGGAACAGGTGCTGGGGTGCCTTGGAGGTGGGGGTCTCCAGCATTTCCGTAAAACTTTAGTGTTATTTAATGTGTGCATTTAAGATATATATTAAAAAAATCATTAAGGTATTTATTTAAATTTATAGATTATGTATGAAAGTGAATGCACTCAAAAATGTAAAATCTTTTCAAACCTGCTCTAGATTTTGGGTATTTACATTCTGATTGTAAATACTTTCATGCCAAGTGTTCCAACTGTTTCTAATTCCTTGACCTGTATATTTTTAAAAAAAATTTAACATGTTTCTTTAATTTTTGCTTAACATGTTTCTTTAAAAGTATATATTAACAACAAAAAAAAAAGAATAATTTTAGTAAAATAATAATGATTCAAATTCAACTCAACATATATAATTTAGATTTAATTTTTATTCGGTATCTCCACATTTCATATTATTTTTTAAAATAAATTTTAAATACTTAGAATTATTGTTTGACCAATTTCTTATGCCTGAGACAAACAAAAATTATCACATGAGTGTATGCAACATTATGAGATTGTGTCTAATTAAAAATATTTAATTATTTTTTATTACTTTTTGTACTTTTTCTATAATCTCATTACTAGTGGTAACTTGTGTTATGCACGGCACTTTATAAATTAAAAAAAAAAAATTATTATAATTATCTTAAAGTAATTTAATATTTTATCTTGTGGTATATATAAAATTTATAATTTAATTTTTATGTTTATAACTTTATAAATTATTAGTTTAAAAAAATTAAAAAATATATATTTTTAGTGTAATTTTGATAATTTGTATTAAATCATTATTTGTCATAACCTAAAAAAGTCAAAAAGACGCTATCCTATTTAAGTCACATCATCTTATTTAAGTCACATCACTTCTCTACCACGTCATTTCAAACTCAACCCATACCCAATCCATATTTCATAAAAAGTCAAAAAGTATACTTATTTAGATCACTCCAAACCACCCCTAAAAAACGTTAAACCTGATTAAATGAGATTAAATGAGTTATGGCATATCTCTTCGTGTTATGGAAATATACAAATTTAAAAGTTATAATTAAGACAAATATATAAATTTTATTATTAAATGTGAAGTGAAATGATATTTAACAATAATTAATATGATGTTTCTATTATTAATCCAATAATTTAAATTACATTTCTTTTGATCTCAATTTCATGATTAAAAATACAATATGAATATAATACACACGGATTTCTAGTATTTAAGTATAAGAAGGTTTCAAAATATTTTTAAACTTTCATCATTTTCTTTTAATTTTTTTTTATCTAATTTGATTTTAAATTTGAATAATTTTTTTGATTTGATATGAATTATTTTAACTTTTTCATTCAATTTTTGTCAACTTTTAAAATAACTTTCATTCTTATCCCAATTTTTTTTCTTTTCACCAATTTTGATGGAAAAAATAGTAATCTTCAATGTTTCAACTTTTAAATTTTTATCAAATTATAATTTGATAAAAAAAAAATTAAGGATTGAAGATTCTCTTAATTAGAATTATAGTGAAATAACATCTTGAAATAGTCAAAATTTGAGTATGTAGTTCTTTGAAATGTATAATTTAATTAATTCTCTTCTCATATTTGTATAAAAATTGACATTTATGACTACATCCAGTGGCGGAGCCAGGAATTTAATGTAGGGGGGACACTTATTAATTATAATCTCAAATTTTTTCTTCCCCAATCAATAACAATAATATAATAATAATTTTTCAAGCTAATAATAAATATTAAAAATTAATATTCATTAAAAAAAATTTTAATTTTAAACTTTTACAATTGAGCCTGACGAGTTTTCATCTTTTGAAATCTTTCCATAATAGTATCATTGTCAATGCCATAAAAAATCTCTCTCAATGTAGACAACCAAGCTATCATTCATCCATTCATCATCCATTCGGTTCCGCAACCGATTCTTCACAATATTCATAGCTAAAAATACCCTGTCAATAGTAGCAGTTGCAATAGGCAATATTAAGGCCTCGTTTGGGAACCCTTATTTTTAGCCAAAAAGTTACTAGCCAAAAAGCCAACAACCCATACAAAAAAGTCAAAGATTTTTTTTTATCTCTACTTTTTACACATCTTTTCGTAAAAAGTCAAAAAGTCATCCCAAACATACTAGTTTTTTTTAGCTCATATTTTAGCTAAATAGCCAAAAAGTTACTAAATTAGTCTGTTCCCAAACGAGGTCTAATGCTAAAGTCAAGAGCAAATACACCAATGGATATAATTTGTCTCTTCCAGTCTCTATCATTTTCTTAGCAAAATCGGCAATCCCATTCAACCTTGATAAGTCACTACTGGAGAGCATGTCGATAATATATGTATCAATTTGTTTTGCAGAACAATAATTATAATCTTCTTCTTGATGAAGAGATGATTCTAATTTTGATTTTCTTTTGAAATATTTCTCCATGACTGTTTTAAAAAATAAAAATCGAAATAAAAATTCATAATCAAAATCACAAATCCCTACAAATCAAAATTTTCAATTTTAATACAAATCAAAAAATTTAAATTTAGTACAAATCACAACAAATAAAATTTCTAATATACCTATAATATAACAAATGAAAATCCCTAATTTAAATAACAAATACTATAAATTAATATTTTTAGTTGTAGCACAAATTAAATCCCTAATTTCAGCACAAATAACAACAAACCAAAATGTCTACTTTTAATATAAATCACCACCAATTAAGACTAATAATTTTAGCATATCAAAATCTCTTATTTTAACGTAAATAATAACAAATAAAAAAATTTTACAAATCAAAACTTAGCAAATAACTATAAATTGATACTCATAATTTTTATTTAAAAAAAATTATAAATAAAGTTCCTTATAAACAATAAAAAGAAGATACTAAAATTATAGTGTGATCCCAAATTTATGTTATGTGATTCTAATATGATAAATCATGAGTTGATAAATTACAAAAACAACGAAAAGAGATAAAGGGAGAAAAAAAAACCTTGCTGCCGTTTTTCATGATTAAAAATAAATAAATAAATAATCAGATTAAGGTTGTGTCAGTGTGTTTGGGTGTGTGTTAGTGTATTAGTGTGTCAAGAAATTGTGACCTTGTGTGCGTGTCAGTTTTTTTCAGTCAAAGTGGGCTGGGCTGCTATGCAAGTGTATATCGGCACAGACAAATCTTAAAAAAAATAAAAAAATAAAAAATTCAAAAGTCAGGGGGCACATGACCCCGTCCCCCACATCCCTCGAGTGAGGATCCTCTCCTTACAGTTTTCGTACTTGTGTTCGTCCTTGTAGGTTTTTGGGTCTATTTTTAGGTTCAATTTTGATAATTCGAACCGTTCATATTTTATGATTTATTCAGTATATCATACTTGTAAAAAATTAAGTTGATCGGATATCAAAAAGTATATGTTCGGAAAACTGTTTATTAAATTCTTTAAAAAATAGTGTTTAGTTCAATTTTTCAAACACATACTTTCTGATATCCAATCAACTTGATTTTTTACAAGTATGATATACTGAATAAATCATAAAATATAAACAGTTCGGATTATCAAAATTGAGCCTAAAAGTAGACCCGAAGGCCTGCAAGGACGGACGCAAACACAAGCTTGCAAGGAGAGGCTCTTGACTCACATCCCTCCGCCCCTGACTACATCATTATAAGTGGGGTTATGGAAAATTTTTTTACAGTGTCAAACAATTTTCATTTATAAATATTTTACATATTAAAAAAAGAAAATAAAAAAAAATTAATTTTTAGATATGTGTTTATTAATTTTGTTTTATAGACATAAATAATTGATATTTCAATTTAAAAAATTAAAAAGTAAAAAAATAAATAAATTGGGTTTTTTAGAGATAAAAGAAGCCAACAAACTCTTCTATATACTATTTAAGATGAATTATTTTTATCACATAAAAAAAATATAAATTATATTTAGAGATTATCCCTATATATTATGCTATTATATACAACTATAGATATAACAACTATAATATATCATTATAAGTTATATTAAGCTTTCATTTTCAATTAATTGAATTATAATTAACAAATTAACAAATAGTAATAATGGAATAATCGGATAGAAAGAAGATAAAAATAAAGAACACAATGACATTCAAAAGTTTTAAATTTACCTAGTTATACAAAAATCTAATGTTATAGTAAAATTTTGGGCTCTGTTTGGTAGAGCTTTGTAACTATGATTTGAGAATATGAGTTATATTTTAAGTTTGTGTGTTTTAGAATTATGATTTGAGTGTAGAA